TTGGTTCTCATTATTTCGAAAAAATGTTTGGACAAATAATCTCTAAAATTTACCTACTTGAGTGCACGGCACTAAAGAAAAGGAAAATATGTATGGTACCCCAATCAGTGGAAAGTAAGCAACTAAACTTTTGTCTATTATCTGTCTGCACTGCTAAAACTATAGCAACTAATCTAAGAATTTTAATTATAAAGCCCAACAATATTTTAACGGAAACCTACTCAAAACATTAATCAAATTCGAAAGTAAACAAAGAGCTACAACGTTAGATTTCGTAAGGATCCAAAGCGCTGAATTGCGAATACTGCCAAAATCTGATGAATGTATCATCATCATGAGGTCGTCAGTCCTAAGACTGGTTGGACACACCTCCAGTCTTTTCTATCCTGAGCTAATCTTCGCATTTTTCTAAAACTAGAACATCCCACATCCTTAACTATTTGCGAACAGTAATCTAATCTAGGTCTATACGTCTATCCCTCCTAACTCCCGTTTCTTCTTCTAATATGTCTCTGACTAGACGTTCATGCCTGAGAAGGTGTCCTACTAACTCGCCTATTTCTTATCGACATCCATGGAGTCCTCTGTTCTCCTATTATTTCTACTACCTCTTCACTTCTAACCTTCTCTATCCACGATATCCTCATCATTCGCCGATAACACCACATTTCGAACGCTTCTAATCTTTTCTTTTCCGCCGTGCTCACTGTCCATGTTTCGCTCCCGTACAGCGCCGCGCTCCAAACACACACCTTTAACAACCTTTTTCGAATTTCTAAATTAACCGTTCGCGAGCATGAAAGTAACCCTGCGCTATCCTCTGCTTTATATCCCTACTACCCCTTCCGTCCTGACTTATATGACTTCCTATAGATACCTAAAATCAGTCACTTCTTCTAATTTTTCGTCTCCTATCTTTATATTCGCTCTTCCTTTATTTTTTTTAATGTATACCTCAAAAATATCTACTGATATATTAAAAATAATGGACTGTATATTTTATTAATTTGATGCACTTGTATGAAATAGGCGATAAAATTCTGTGATACATTTATGACAATTTTTTGAGCACTATGTTTAAGTACACGAACAAAATAATTAGAATTAGGTTCGTACTGCTCTAGTATTAATGATATTAGTTAGTGTCGGAATAGTTTTTCGATAACATGTATTGACGGCTTAAGCAAAATTAATTTTGCCAATTAGCTTAACTATACGTTACATACATTCGTATTTAATTAACGCACGCATATGTATCAAATTACCTGTTTCGTAACATATTTGGTATACGAATTAATGTAGGTTCTGAAATGTCAGTTACTTCTTACTACGATTGCGCATATTAATTACACTTTTGCAATCAATTACAGTCAAACTTTTCTAGCTCTAACCTACTAAATGCAACTATTAGTTATGCTCGAGTTAGATAAAATGCCAGTTAAGGAAAATTTCTGCTTTACCGTCAAACTTCTTAATTGCTGTTTCGAAGACATCGCTTCTACTTATATTACTATCATTAAGTCTACCGCTCGTAATCTTTATAAGGCCTCTTGCACACGGAAGAAATTATTTTGCGTATGTTCAAAGAGAATTTAGCATAGGTACCTATCGGTGTCGGTTTTTCTACGGTCGCCGCTAGAGATGTGCAAAATGGTTTTTTAAAAGTATTTAAATCCAAAATGCAAATAGTTCTTTGTTTTGTTATTTGTATTTCCCTTTTGTATTTAGATGCTAAATGCAAAATACTTTTTTCAAGTAAATATTTTTTTGTAGTATGCACCTATTTAATTTTCTATATTTACTTAAGTATCAAATATTTTTTAAGAATACCTTGCAGGCATTTGCCCATTTTTTAAATATTGGAGTATTTTCTAGATTAGTAGTGGTATTTGCTCAATATCACCAGCTGGGAAGATTGAGTATGATTTATATTTTTCTGTTTGAACTGATTGAGATATAGTTTTTCTATCTTTATGTTATAGTTTCTTCAGTTCACTTGTGCCAAAATAGTTTGTTTAGCGTGAAAGATCACAGTCAAAATAGGGTTTTTAAATTTTGGATTAAACGCATTTACGAGGGTGGATTGATAAGTTTCCGGCCTAACCAAGAGATGACGCCACTAGGCCTACCTTGGGGTGACATTCTATAGTACCATCCTTGGATAGCTTGTAGCTATAGTTTCAGCCCGATCTCCTTGCTAGTGTAGGTTTGACAGCACGCTGAACAAGACGCCTCTGTGGTTTTCGTAAAAATGNAAGTACACGAACAAAATAATTAGAATTAGGTTCGTACTGCTCTAGTATTAATGATATTAGTTAGTGTCGGAATAGTTTTTCGATAACATGTATTGACGGCTTAAGCAAAATTAATTTTGCCAATTAGCTTAACTATACGTTACATACATTCGTATTTAATTAACGCACGCATATGTATCAAATTACCTGTTTCGTAACATATTTGGTATACGAATTAATGTAGGTTCTGAAATGTCAGTTACTTCTTACTACGATTGCGCATATTAATTACACTTTTGCAATCAATTACAGTCAAACTTTTCTAGCTCTAACCTACTAAATGCAACTATTAGTTATGCTCGAGTTAGATAAAATGCCAGTTAAGGAAAATTTCTGCTTTACCGTCAAACTTCTTAATTGCTGTTTCGAAGACATCGCTTCTACTTATATTACTATCATTAAGTCTACCGCTCGTAATCTTTATAAGGCCTCTTGCACACGGAAGAAATTATTTTGCGTATGTTCAAAGAGAATTTAGCATAGGTACCTATCGGTGTCGGTTTTTCTACGGTCGCCGCTAGAGATGTGCAAAATGGTTTTTTAAAAGTATTTAAATCCAAAATGCAAATAGTTCTTTGTTTTGTTATTTGTATTTCCCTTTTGTATTTAGATGCTAAATGCAAAATACTTTTTTCAAGTAAATATTTTTTTGTAGTATGCACCTATTTAATTTTCTATATTTACTTAAGTATCAAATATTTTTTAAGAATACCTTGCAGGCATTTGCCCATTTTTTAAATATTGGAGTATTTTCTAGATTAGTAGTGGTATTTGCTCAATATCACCAGCTGGGAAGATTGAGTATGATTTATATTTTTCTGTTTGAACTGATTGAGATATAGTTTTTCTATCTTTATGTTATAGTTTCTTCAGTTCACTTGTGCCAAAATAGTTTGTTTAGCGTGAAAGATCACAGTCAAAATAGGGTTTTTAAATTTTGGATTAAACGCATTTATTAGCACCCCGCAATATTTTGTACTTTTCAGTCTTATACAGCTGGTGAATATAAATTCGATATTGTTTGGTAGGCTGTTTTGTCGTAATTCATAGAATTTCGTAGTTCTTTGCTAAAGGTACGATTAGTGGTGATTTGGTAGGTGCTGATATCAATTTGGAATTACAAAATTACGTAGACGATGACACTGAACCCGGAAAACAAAATTGTTCCAATTCCAAGGATTTTAGAATTTTTTGGGCTCTCTTCAGTTAAAGAATTATAAGGCATTCATAGAATATCTGTTTGTCCCCTTTTTATGCTTCTAATACCTTCAAGGGTCAATGTGAGCAACTTTCATTCAACAGTTTATATAATGTTTGATCGATGATACAAGTAAAACTTTTAACTGCAAAAATGTATTTTGCATTTTACAAAAAGAAAATACGTTTGGAAAAGTATTTTTCAAAAAAATATTTAAATGCAAGATGGAAGTAGGTATTTTTTATTTTGTATTTGCATTTTAAATACAAGTATTTGAAATAAATCACATCTCTGGTGGCCGGTTGGCAAATTTGTTCAATTTTCTTTGTGCATTTCATTCTTCAAATCCTGCAAAATCTCAAATAAATGTATATGTATATATGTTCAATATAGAGTAGATCGGATAATATCGTAGTGCGGCACTGTCAGTTGACCAGAAATTAAATCAGTGACCGGTCACCGGTGGCGTGTGTGTGATATCTTTAACTGGAAAAACTGTTTAAAGCACCTTATTAGTCCCTTTGTAGACTATACGAATTTTCGCTGTGCATCTAACCTAACCAGCCAAGTCGCCCGAACAACAGTGGATCACAATGAATCGTAGTGTCTATTTGGAACTTGTCCTGCTTTCTTTTAATCACGTTATTTATATTAATAAAGTACTTCTTAATGCTGTTNAAAACATACCAAAAACCAAAACCACGAAATCGTCCATCAGGCACAAATATTTTATTACCGTCTACTTTTTATGAGTACTGTAATGTTCGTGTGTTAAATTTAACTTCTTTCTAAGACTGATAACGACAAAAAATATTTACATTAATTATTAAAGAACTTAAAACACTAGTAAATTATTACTAAACTTAGGTTATGAATTATTCTATTTATTTACACTACTGTTTACTGTTATCACTATTCACTGCGCTATTTATTTCACTGCTATCACTGTTAATTTATTTCTCGATTCACTTCTGCAACGGTCAATTTATTTCTTCTTCTCTCAGCGATCGTCTCTTCCTTTAAATACTCCTTTGTTTACTTTCTGGAACCTTCTGGAAATATCGGGATAGTTTATTTTTTTCTTTGAATTGTTTAACTGCTTTCTCAGAACGCAGGTACCACACACACATTTACAAATACGGCGGACATGAAGAAAGGCACCCGCGGCTAGTCGGCGAATCGATAAGTTGATCACGCAGGTGTGCCCAATCGCACACAAACACACTCGTGCTCGCTACAATATTGTATCAACAGAATCTCGTTTAGAAACGGATTTAAAATATTAGAGATATGCTAATTTATTTTAATTTTTACCATATTTCATAGTCTTTTTAGTGCTTCAGTGTTTTTCATTCTTTTAGTAATAGTAAATTTTCTTTTTACTTTTTAAGGTATGCATTAGTTTGCCACGATGACAATAAAATTTCTAATTTTGCTTGCAATGAATTTTACGTTCCTTAATAGTATAATGGAGAGGATAATTAAAAAACGTAATTCTTTTGTTTCAGGATGCCGACACCATAGAGGTCCTTAATGAAACTGGAGAGCTTCGTAAAATATTGAAACCTTACAAGGTTAGTATTTACGGATATTCATGTCTTTCTAGTTTTCGAACTTCCACTAAAAACGAATTTATTTTTCGAAAGCTTCATTTGTCTCTACTGTTTTGTCTTTGCGAAGAATTTTATATGGAAAGTTTTTTTACTACTGTTGTAAAACAAGATACAACGTTTACGAAGCAAAGCAAAAAACCTTTTTTAAAAACATTTGAAAGCCGTGCTTTTAAGAATAAAAGTCTTTACTGGACGACGAGACGGCCGAAGCACTTAAACAGAACCCATGAATAAACTAAAATTTATTACTTCAATCACTTGTCTGATAACTAATTTGACAGAATTTCAAGCTGTTCCACAACCCAGAGCTTTCTTAGTCTATACAGGGTGTAACAGAAATAAGTGTCTAGCTTTGGAAAGTTTAGTCTATATGTAATAAACAATTGCACGGTTTGGTTAAGGACAAAAAGAAATTTCTAAGAAAATCATAATAATTTACAATCCGAGGCTGGTCTTGTGTGTGAATTGGTAACATAGGTGTCTACCGAATAGCATAGTGCGATAAAAAAAAGCTACATGGATGAAGAATGCAAACATTGCCGATTATCGAACGTCTATGGTAAACATAAACAATTTAGTACTATACATAATGTTTTGACCCATAAATTAAATAAGTTCATTCGAATTTCCACACCGCTTTGAGGTATTACCAAAACTTGTTTCCTTTTTATGAGTGGTTGTAAGTAAACTTACCAAAAAAATTAAATAAGTCTCTAAACATTTCGAACCACACATTTACCTAATTCAGCGAAATCGCGAAGGACAATCAGTTTCAAGGATGGCTTGAACTCGCTGCAAATGATAAGGATGTAAGAAATTGTTCCTTTAAAGTTTGCAATAGTGTCACATGAGAGGAACTAACGTGGCGATATTATTCAAACTCGTAAATACATATCGTATCACATTAACAACAACTTTTTGATTGATGTTGTATTGCTGAATTAATTTATTGAACTGCATATTGACTGGCTCATACAAGGTTTAAACGTTAAAAAGAATAAACGGTTATTACAGGTTGGCTGTTAACATAAACACTAAGAATCATACTTAATCTTATCTAACAATTAAACAATACAAGAGCAAAAAAATACTACACCGATGCTGGCAATTACCTGCTGATTGAATGCAGCGTTGCGGACCGTATTTCTTTACCAGGGCCGGAATTAAGTTTATTTGTTCTTTCAACTACGTTTTTCTCGAAAACGGTGAACTGTCGATCATACAAACGTTTACTTTTTTCATGTTTTATAGTACTCTATCGTCTCCTACAAGCTTGACACTTATTTATGTTACACCCTTTATAAGGAAACAATACAGATAATAAGCTTGAAATATCCCATCATGTTGTTAAATCACCTGCCTCAATTTAGGTATTTTGATACACTACTGTTACTAAAATGACATTCAAAAGGTCTAGAAACGTAGGGGTGAGAAAAACAGGGTAATTTCCCTTAGGTCTGGCTTTATAAACCGCAGTATTGTGGACTAAAATTTATAAACGTTAGGATAAAAGAAATTAAAGCAATTCTGAAGTGAGAGGTTTTTTTTTATTACTTTACGTTATCAAAGCACCAACATTTTGCATTAGTGGTGTTAAGGCTCTTTCTGGGCTAAGAAGTTATATCTAGTAAATATAATATAAAACTTATAACAAACAGAAAAATTCGCTAAAATTATGAAACTTATAAAGTTATTTTTAGTGGGTGCGGTAACAATAATACTAATAAAACTAAACATCAATGAGATATTCACCCATACATAGCACACTGGTTTTACTATTTAAGTAACAGAAAGTTTTGAAAATTACACACAATATAAAATAATAAATATTAAAAGTAATTAAAAGACTAAAAGTGGTAACAGTTATTATTTTATTTATTATTTATTATTAGTGGTTGCAAAAATTTAATTTTTAAAAGGCAACCCGGTAGCAATGTATTAATCATTCATTTGAATTAAGTTTCATTAAAAAGCAGATATCTGCAGTCGGCTCTTAGACTATAACGTAAATATAAAAACAGCAGCTTTTCGTTACAATATAAAAAACTGAAATCTCACAAAAAAGAAAGCTTGGATAGGAGAATACAATGTTGACTAGGGGAGCCCCTCCATATTTGAATAGTTACACTGCTTGCCGTTGATGCCACTTTCTACTTCAGTTTCGGCGATATTTTCGTAATGCATATGTGTGCAAACGACTGTACACCTGAAATTAATAGTTACAATGTGATTAGAATATGTGCGTATGCAACCAACCATACACACTTTTAATCCCGCTCACTTTCCCAACTGTTTATTTTTGACTCAAATATGTCAAAATTTCCAATTTTTGATTAATGAAAAGTTCAAGACTTCAAAAATAGTTTTATCTTTTATTTAAACGTTTCAATATTTAGTTAGTTCTAGGATAGTATATTCTAAGGGGATATATATTTTCGCGGTACGGCTGCAAGTAAAAAACATATTTTTTTCCATATTCATCGTTAATATCTTTTAAACCGTTCGATAAAATCTGATAAAATTTTCAAAAAAGCACGGTTCTCGATTGTATAAATTGATTTTTCCCGTTTTACGACACCTTTTTAATGGAAAAGTGCACTTTTCGAACGTTTTGTCCATGGCCGACTGAGAGATTGACATACATACACAAAAACCTACGCTAGAAAAGTATTATAAGTATATGATATTGTGTCTGTTTCAGCCCAGATAAAAAGCTACACGTTACCCTTAAAGCGCATGGTACTTTCTATAAATACAAAGCTCGGTACAGGTGGGCGTATGTTTGTCTACAGTGTCACGTTTACTTCCTTTCGTACATTTCGTAACAAACGTCATCCCACACATTAAACTTGTTTGTACAAATCCATTTACAATCTTTGAGGCATTCTTATAAAGAAAATGATTGTTTTTAACTGATTTGTAGTTCACAAAGAAAATTGTATTTCTATTATAGAGAAATGATTTCCAATGTACGTAATGATATTTGAAAATAAACGTCATTGTTATTCATCAATTGGTTCTGTAATATAGGGTTGTCCGGAAAGTCATTTCGTTTTTTCCCGACAGAGGATTTAATTGTATTATTTTGCACCCAACTTCACATTTAAGCAGTATAATTTTTATATGCTTTGAGAGCTCATATAGCAAGGCTTGTGTGTGAAAAATTCCAATTAATTCTACGCAGTAGTTTTTGGTTGGTGCCCTTTTAAATATGGAGAGCGATAAGCAGCATTTTCGACATATCTTACTGTTTTACTACAGAAAGGGTAAAAATGCTGTTCAAGCCAGAAAGAAATTGACTGATGTGTATGGAGAAGGTGTGTTGACAGTACGCCAGTGCCAGAACTGGTTCGCTAAATTTCGATCCGGCAATTTTGATGTCGAAGATGCACCACGTTCGGGAAGGCCGGTTGAAGCTGATAAAGACGCGATAAAGGCATTAGTTGATGTGAACCGGCGAATAACAACACGTGAGATCGGATTGAGGTTAAATTTATCAAATTCAACAGTTTATGACCACTTGAAAGGCCTGGGATTATCCTCGAAGCTCGATGTATGGGTTCCCCATGTTCTCACAGAGAGAAATCTGTGTCGCCGCATTGACGTCTGCGATTCGCTTCTCAAACGTCACGAAAATGATCCGTTTTTGAAGCGCATCATCACTGGGGACGAAAAATGGGTTGTATACAACAACGTCAAACGCAAGAGGTCATGGAGCAAAAAAGATGAACCGGCTCAAACCATTTCCAAAGCCGATATTCACCAAAAAAAGGTGATGCTGTCTGTTTGGTGGGATTTTAAAGGAATCGTTTTTTTTTAGCTTTTACCGGATAACACAACGATTAATTCGGAAGTCTACTGTCATCAGCTGGACAAACTGAATGATGCACTTCAACAGAAAAGGTCAGAACTAATCAACAGGAAAGGTGTAGTGTTTCACCAAGACAACGCGAGACCTCACACAAGTTTGGTCACTCGCCAAAAGCTTTTACAGCTTGAATGGGATACAATGCTACACCCACCATATTCTCCAGACCTGGCACCATCGGATTATTATTTGTTCCGGTCACTCCAAAATTTTTTAGACGGTAAAACCTTCACCTCAAATGAGGAGGTCAAAAACCTCCTCGATCAGTTTTTTGCCAGCAAAGACCAAAAATTTTATGAGCGTGGAATTATGCTACTACCAGAAAGATGGCAAAAGGTGTTGGACCAGAACGGTCAATATATAATTTAATAAAGTATTTGTTTATTATACGAAAACTGTCTTTCATTTCCACAAAAAAAAACGAAATGACTCCGAACAACCCTATAGAATTCTGTTATATAATTGACAACTTTCTACAATGAAAAATTAAAATATCGCGAAGTATGTAGTAATGCAAATATATGTACGTAAATAAACAAAAGACAAAGGAGAAAAGATTAACACGTTTAAAATTAGATTTGCAGTTGGAATCTAGAACGGTCAAGATAGAGAAATAGAAGCGGTATTAACAAAAGTAAAATAAAAATATTGTTATTTAAAGGAGGGAAAAGTAAGAAAAGATCTAATATAAAAAATGGAAAACGAAATATTAAAAGAAGTTCCTTATTTTCAATTTCCAGGAAGTCAGATAATACAGGATGAATGAAGAGGTAGAGGTATAAAACAAAGAACAGCATAAGGTCAAATCGCCTTTAACAAAAAGAAGTCACTTCATTTTTCTTTATAATCATTAAAAACAGGCAATCTTCCGAAAATGTTTTTTTTTTTCTTTATAACATTCTAGAACAATTTTGAAATAAACTTTTTTTATGTCATTTCCAATTTAGAATAATCTAAAATCAGTTTTATTATATAAATTAAATTAAAA